ACTACTAGTTACATACTAGCCGACTCGGTTCTAATGGAATCTTTGCGCCTCTTACAGGCAACAGGGGAATTCGACTTCTGATTTTTATTGGAGACATTTCATCGGGCGGTTATCGGCAGCGTCTTGCAAGAAGTCGAGAAAAGTTCATTGGGTTGTTTAAGTTGTCTGTCTTCAGTTAATATTTGTTTTGTGAAAGCACGAGGGAAAAGGACATAGTTGAGATTCCTTATGATCATTTTGTTGAATGTTGTTAGCGTTTTGTATATAACGAATGAGAGCTCTTTTGGCCTTCAATGCATGGCAACTTCGAGGATTTTCCAGAAAAAGTTTACCATTGCTCTAATGGAATATATTTGTAACCCCCAACTTCGTATACTGTGGACTTACTTTTTCTTCTTCTTCTAAATAATGAATTATCGCATTGTTATTCAAATTTTTACTGCTATAATCCGTTACTCTTATTTCTCCTCAATTAGGGTTGCATGTAACGAACCCGGAAAAGATTGAATAGAATTGAGTGTTTCAAATCGCCTCTGATAGATTTCCTACGAGCAGTGAATTTGATTCCAATGATCGACGATAGTTGCAGAATGTTCTAACCATTTTCTTAGCTTCTATCAGTTTTCAATCTCTCTCGTTAGTTGCAGAATGTTCTTACCATCTTGATCTTGAATTTTGAGTAGAACTCTGAAGGTGAGAATATTATGTGACGTTAATTCTTTGGTTAGTGCATTATCTGATTTGATTGGAGTTTCTCTATGGTAAATTTTATTGGCAAGAACAGATTCAGGGTTGAGATTTGAGAGTAGAAAACAAAGTAGTGCAAATGGATTAACGAAATGCATTGATAAAGAAGGAAGTGGAAAACGAAGCGGCTGTTAAATTATGAGCAGGACGTGAGAGATTTCCCGCGTTACAACAAATAATCAAACAGAAGATAAAACCAAAGCATTCATGGCGTCCTTAATCCAAGCGGCGACACACACACTGTACATGGAGCACAAAAACACGAGGCGCAATTGCGAGCGAAGCGATCATATCATATCTCTTCTCACGATTCACGGCGTGTTACTGGTCACCATGCACTGCGATTGAAAGAAAGTAAACAGAGTGGAAGGATCGGGGAACGCCGCCGCCACCGCCGGATGTTGCCAGCCACCAGGAGCTGCAAAACAGATACCTCGTTGGTCACCGCCGCCGTCTACGGCATTTTCGTTTGCTGCTGATACTCTATTAGTATTATTTTCCTCCGTTTCCGGCCAAGGTTGCGGCGACAAAGGGAGCGGCGACAGAAGAGGAAGAATCGCTTTCGAAGAAGTCTCGGCACCACCAGGAGCCATGGAGGTGCTCGAAACTTGATCGAGATGAAGACTCGCCGGCGCTTGCTTCTGTAACCTGGTCGGAGGTTTAGGTATTCTGGATTTGGCCTTGTGCTCCTTCTCCATGGATGCTCTGAGAAAATCGATGACGGCAGATTGATTCGCATTCATTGTGGGAGAATTATAGGGCAAACGAAGAACACGAAGAGAGGATAATAATAAGAACTTGTTCTTGGAAACCGGTCGTTGGTTACGAAGGTGGATGGTCACGAATCGCGAAACCAAAATTTCATTTCATAATGGTTTCGAAGGACGGGTGGAATGTCAGAGATCAGGTACGCCTTTAACGATTTTCTGCCATAACCGACCGTCTTTATTTGGTAATTCAAAACGTTTTTGCTTTCAACCACCTTCTTTTTTCCCTTTCCTGAAGAACAGGAAGGGAAGTTTAAGCCCTTCAATGGAGACCCTGAAAAGTGAAACATCCCTTTTTTAGGCAAAGAGAAAATGGAAAAAAAATATTACATTTTTGTCTTTATCTTTATTTATTTATTATTATTCTTTTAATTTATTGCAAAAATTACAGCCTCTAACTTTAGAAAAAAAAATAAAATGTTTTAGTTGTTGAGCTATACTAATATTGTTTATTACAATCACACCTACATGAGACTTTCAATTTCAAAATTTTGTATTTAAGTCCTTAAATAAATATTGCAAAATGCACCCATCATTTTTAAACTAGAGTGATGTTATAAAGAATTACATAATTGTTATAATTTAACTCAATTTTTTTAACTCTCTAATTTTTTTAAGTGCAACAAGAAGATGTGGAGTGATGGGTTGAACACTATCTTCTTAATTGACTATACATGTTTTAACCAATTGAGTTAGATAGGTAACAACTCTCTACCACAATAAGAACCATTAAAAAAATTTAAGCTCTAAATAAAAAAAAAATTGTAGTAAAGAATTCGGGTATGATTGTAATAATCTTGTAGTTAGAGAATTTGATTGAAACAACACTAATAATTCAGGGAAGTTGGTGCATTTTCCAATCTTTTTAATGGTAAAGCAATTTTACAAGTTAGGGTGATACTTGTCTCGCCAATAAGGTAAATCCAATGGGTCTGTTGATTATGGGCTCAACCAAAATATAGGCTGGTTGAAACTTACTGCCCAATCATGAGGCCACATAATTCCTGCAATTATTTTGGTAACAATGGCCGCTGGCGTCGGTGATCCAACATGTATATGCAGAATTATGGGCCGATGATCAGACCCACTTTGCAAAAGTGGACGAAGGATTGTCAATCAATGCCACAACCTTCGTTTCAAATGTCATTCAGTGCCACATCTTTCTTTTTTCTTTCTGTTTTCATTTTCAATTTATCTGATGTGGGGTTAGCTGGGTTCTTCTTCTAAATTTCTACTTAGCTCGCGCTTAAAGCCTTAAATTTTAATTTTTTAAAGGCCCTATTTTCACTATTTTCATTCTAGAACCTAAAATAAATATTGACAAAAGAGGGTGTGGCACTGAATGACGTCAAAAATTTTGATGTTCAGCGAAAATTTTGCATCCTGAACTTTTAATGAAAAATTTGACCATAGAACGAACTGTACTCCACATGAAAATCATAACTAATTCTGCAAGAATTGCTTGGAGGAACTCAATAGATTAAATATATTGACTTTTCAACTACTTAGCTTTGTGCTAGAACTGTAACTATCTAAATATGTCAGGGCTCTTGAAAAACTAACTGCATTTTGAAGGGCCATTGCATCAATATGCTAGAGGGTATCCATTTGAAGTAGTATCCCAAAGAGATAAGGAGTGCTTGTATATGGCACATCAAAGTCCCCCGATTTTTGTTTATATTTATTGTGATAGAAAGCAGTATTTTTGTTTTCTTTCCCACAGGTCTTTTAGGATATGTCTTGAATTATTCTTGGGTTTTAGCTACATGGGCACAGTACAGGGCCATGCTGTATGGAGGAAGTTTGTGGTTTCAGTGTTATATAAAATACAAGCAAAAATATAAGAGCTCTGGTTTCTTCTTTCACATCCACTTTTTACGTGGTGCAGAGGAGGGCTTAAATCGCAACCTCAACAGTCGCTTTAGATTAAGCAGATTTGAGAATCATGTTTCTTTAGTAATTTAGCTGAATAGCTGCCTTAGTTTGCCACGTGTGTGGTTGTGAATATCAGTTTCCAAGACTCCTGAAGAGTTCATTGGGACTGTAACAGAAGAGGCTGAACAGCCAATTTCTACTAGCTTGAGGATCCTCGCTGGATTGTTCATCCATTTTGAGAGGAGGGTACGAGGCAGCAGTAAGAATTTCACTGCTTCACACCCACCTGAGCCCTTAATCCATGGCTGCCACGGTTTCAACCATTGGAGCTGTTAATAGAATAACGGTACTGTCTCTTACCGCCTTTAGTTTCCATGCAAGTCTTTTGGGTTATTTGATGGAGAATACCATCAGTTTATTGAATGATTTCTTCTTTTTTTCTCTGGGTTTCATTTTTCAATCATAAATGTCATATTATTTAGGGCATTTGGAAGTGACCAAAATCACTTTTGTATTGCCAAAACCAGTTTCATTCAAGACATGCAAAGAAATAGAAAATTTCATTGTCACTATAACTTCTACACATACCATTTACATCTTTGTATTAAAGAAGTTTTTGCTTATATGCAGTTAAACAACAGTAACTATGGGGGTTTAGTGCCGAACTCTGCTTTTTTGGGCAGCACGTTGAAGAAGGCTAGTTCCAGATTCACCACCCCAAATATGGTGACTGGAAACTTCAAGATTGTTGCTGAGGACGATGAGGAGAAGCAGACCGAGAAAGACAGATGGCGAGGCCTTGCTTTCGATACTTCTGATGACCAACAAGACATTACCAGAGGAAAGGGACTGGCGGATTCTCTTTTCCAAGCTCCCATGGGGACAGGAACTCACTATGCTGTCATGAGTTCATATGAATATGTTAGTGCTGGACTTCGACAGTAAGTGTTAAATATAGAAATTTTTATTTGGTTGGGAGATTCTTATGCTATTTTACTTATGGTATTACTATGTTTCAGATACAATTTCGACAATAATGTGGATGGATTTTACATAGCTCCAGCTTTCATGGACAAACTTATGGTTCATATTGTCAAGAACTTCATGAGCCTGCCGAACATTAAGGTTAAAAAGAACAATACTTAAAAGTACTGACCGATTAGTACTCATTTTCTTGCTAACCACCACTACCACTAAAAATTTGAAAGTTCTTTATCTTTTCTAAAAACAGAAGAGAAAAATCTCCCTTTTGCATTCCTCTTTTTTATTTGTAAAAAATTTAATGGTGGTTAACAAGAGATAATTGCTCACTGGTCAGTACTTAAGTCTATTTGGTTAAAAATATGGCTCGATTTTCGATAGATGGTAGGGTTATTGTTTGTATTTCATTGCTAACTTTTCTAACTTCTGGGTTGCATTTTAGGTTCCTCTCATTCTGGGTATTTGGGGAGGCAAAGGTCAAGGGAAGTCTTTCCAGTGTGAGCTTGTCTTTTCCAAGATGGGAATCAAGTAAGTTCATGACCTAGCTAGTCCTAAGGGAGTTTTTTGGAAGGTTCTTTTTTAATATATATATTTGTTAAATTCAAGTTTAGTCCCTAAACTCACAAAGTTGTATATAGTAGGTCCTTGAAATTTAAAAAATGTCTAATAAGTCTCTAAGCTTTCAATAGTGTGTCTAGTAGGTTCTTGAACTTTTAAAAGCATCTAGTAGATCCTTGAATTTTCAATTTTGTTTATAATAGGTTGTTTACATATTAGACCTTTTTTTTTCCTTCTTTCTTTCTTTCAAATTCAAGGGCCTACTATCAAACATGAAATTGAAATATTAAGAATCTGTCAGACACAGAATTCAAAAGAATATCTTAACAAGGACCTATAGCATTTTTTTTTCCGCTTTCATTTCACTATTGAGGTCGCAAAGAGGGAAGTAGTAAGGCTCCTATTAAAAGTAAGGGTGAGCTCGATGGGAGTTGGAGACACTGTAGAAGTTGAAGTAGTATGATTTCGAGTAAAGGGGGTAAAAAATCGGATTGATAAGTTCAAAAATTCTAAAAGCATAAGCTAGTGATGCTTTTAGCTACTGGACTATTGTCATCTAGCTAGGGTGCAACACTCCACTGCTTTACCTAGCAATACAATGCTTGTATTGTTCTCCCACAACTCTATTTTCATGGGTTAGGACAATTTTTTAAGTGCAGGGACTTATTAGATATAAGATTGAAAGTCTAAGGACTTATCAAACATTTTTTAAAGTTCAAGAACATATAAAACACCAGTCTAAAAGTTCATGGACCAAACTTGTATTTAATCTTTCTATCTTTCATACATATTGGTAATGTATTTCTTCTCCCTGATATATTGTTGGTCTTAATTTTGTTTAGTTATGATGAAATTTCAGCCCTATCATGATGAGTGCTGGGGAATTGGAAAGTGGGAATGCAGGAGAGCCTGCAAAATTGATCAGGCAAAGATATAGAGAGGCGGCTGATATCATCAAGAAAGGGAAAATGTGCTGCCTTTTTATCAATGATCTTGATGCTGGAGCTGGAAGGTTTGGTGGGACCACTCAATACACAGTGAATAACCAGATGGTAAATGCTACTCTTATGAACATTGCTGACAACCCAACCAATGTGCAGCTACCAGGCTTATATAACAAAGAAGAAAATCCTCGAGTTCCAATCATAGTAACTGGTAATGACTTCTCGACATTATATGCCCCCCTCATCCGTGATGGTCGTATGGACAAGTTCTATTGGGCTCCGACTCGAGACGACCGTATCGGTATCTGTACTGGAATATTTAGGACCGATGGTGTGTCTAAGGAGGACATTGTCAAACTTGTTGACACCGTCCCAGGGCAGTCAATCGGTAAACTTTGCAAACTTGGTACAGCTGCATAATGAAATCTCATGTTAAATCAGTATCACTATTGAACCAAAAAACTTAAGTCGATGAGTTACAACACGCCTCCGCAGTCCTCACTTATGAGCTTGGGAACTTGTACCCCCAACTAGTGGTAATCAATATTAATGGGAAAGAGATGACGTTACAGGAATTCGAACACAAGACTTTCTACTCTAACACCATGTTAAATCACAAGTTTAAGTTGATGTATTACAGTAAATTTGATCATTTATTCATATTCTAAAACCTAGCGCTTCTCAGATATATCAGTAACCAAGCATTTCTTAGTGGAAGAAGAATGTTGCCATGCATAAACTAATTTCTTTATGGAATATTCTGGTTGAGCTAACTGGAAATGATTCTCTCTTATAAATGTATAGCATAATTTAGAAGTTGTATTACTGTTTTGCAGACTTCTTTGGTGCTGTGAGAGCTCGAGTTTATGATGATGAAGTTAGAAAGTGGGCAGCGGGAGTTGGAGTGGAGAGCATTGGAAAAAAGCTTGTTAACTCAAAGGAAGGTCCCCCAACATTTGACCAACCTAAAATGACACTCGAAAAGCTGCTCGAATATGGCAACATGCTCATCCAGGAGCAAGAGAATGTGAAGAGAGTAAGATTGGCTGACAAGTATTTGAAAGAAGCTGCTCTTGGAGATGCAAATGAGGATGCTGTTCAGTCAGACACTTCTTATGGTAGGCAACTTTTACTTCCAAAGTCTGAGATTTGATAATCTGTTTTCTAAAATTTAATCTACACTAATTCTTCTCTGTGTCAATGTTAAAGAAGCGGCTGGAAATGCGAATGAGGATGTTGTTCAGTCAGAAACTTCTTATGGTAGGCATCTTTTACCTCCAAAATCGAGTCTTATAATTTTTTTTCCTGAAATTTAATCTACTTTAATTCTTCTTTTTCTAATTTTATAGAAGCTGTTGGAGATGTAAATGGGGATGCTGTTCAGTCAGAAACTCCTAATGGTAGACATTTTTATCTCCTAAGTTGTGTCTTGATAATTTGTTTTCTGAAATTTGTTCTGTATTAATTCTTCTTTGTTCAATTTTAAAGAAGCTGTTGAAGATGCGAATGCGGATGTTGTTCAGTCAGAGACTTCCAATGGTAGGCAACTTTTACCTCCAAAGTTGTGGCTTGATCATTTGTTATCTGAAATTCAAGCTACATTAATTCTTCTTTTCCAATTTAAAGAAGCTGCTCTTGGAGATGCAAATGAGGATGCTGTTCAGTTAGGAACTTCTTATGGTACGGCAAATTTTACCTTCAAAGTCGTGTCTTGATCATTTGTTATCTGGAATTCAAGCTACACTATTTCTTTTTTCAATTTTAAAGAAGCTGCTCTTGGAGATGTAAATGAGGATGCTGTTCAGTTAGAAACTTCTAATGGTAGGCAACTTTTACCTCCAAAGCTGTGTCTTTTGATAATTTGTTTTCAGAAATTTAGTCTACATTAATTATTCTTTTTAAAATTTTATAGAAGCTGCTGGAGATGCAAAAGAAGATGTTGTTCAGTTAGAAACTTCAAATGGTAGGCAAGTTTTAGATTTTACATTCGAAGTTTGTTCTTGATCATCTTTTTCATAAATTTAATCTACATTAATTCTTCTTTTTTCAAATTTTAAAGAATGTGCTGGAGATGCAAACAAGGGTGATGTTCAGTCAGGAATTTCATATGGTAGTCACATTTTACCTCCAAAGTCGTGTCTTGATCCTTTGTCTTCTGAAACTTAATCTACATTAATTATTCTTGTTTTCAATTCTAAAGAATCAATGGAGGAAGAGCAGCGCAACAAGTTAATATCACTGTTCCTGAAAGCTGTGCAGATTCATCTGCAAAAGACCATGTCCCAACAGCCAGAATCCACAACAAAAGCTGCCAGTTTTGACTCTTAGGAATTTTTTACATGTACTGATTATATACCAATGCTTTTTGATGAAGCAAATACCATTATGCTCCAGTATTGTACATTGTTGTTGTAATAAAACTTCACCGTTAGCTTAATATCATTGAATAATAGACAAAATTGCTAGTTACCATCAATACTCCCGATGTACTTCCAATCCAAAGTATTTACATCGATTATATACTGAAAACAAAACAGGAACTAATTCAATCTGCCCATGCAGGCGATCTCAGCAGTCAATCCTGCATTTCTTGTTTGAAACTTGGAACATTCTCTTTCTTACAGAACTAGTCTGGAGGCAGGAAATTTTTTCTGATAAGCTTTAGCTCCAGGAGCTCCTTTCTCAGTTTGGAAGGATGCTCTGTGTGTACCATTTTCTTTCTAGTCATGAAAGGTACATTCTTATTCCTCCCTCTTTCTCTTACAAGCAACTACAGATATTGATTGGTATAACACATCTGCTTCTGGTGCACCTCAAAATGATGCATAAACTCTTTCTCCTTACTCAGCGTGACTTCAGAGGCTTCTCCTGCAGAAGCATAGCTTAATTCTGAACATTCCAAATGGTTTACCTAGACAATCAAAATTGGGGTAAAGAGAATCAGAGATGTATTTTTAGTATCATTTCCCCCCTTAAGATCATTGACTCAACAGAAATAGAAAAGGGAATGAATATCTTATTCTCCTTCTGAGCCTCAATATCCATAACCTCAAAAAGTTCATAGATGAAGTGAATACAAGTGAAATCCCCAGGTGGTTGATCATAAACGAGTTGGTTCTGAATAAAAACATAAGTAGATGTAGATGAGCCTTGTGGACCCAGTATCTAAGAGAATACACCTGAAAGTGTTGAGGAAGTTTATCAAGATTATTCCATTAATACTCCACTTTACTGAACTGGCTATCAACCACAATAGAGAAGTGTTTATACTGTCAACCATCCGCCTTGTTGGATCATAAATATGTTGAATTTTCTTTTCAGCCAAAATGAGTGTTTATCCTTTTATTGAAGTCACATCCAGCTGAAACCAGGATTTTTCTTAACTCCTCTGTTGGACATGAGCCTCCTTACCCTAGCAGCATCATCCCAGTTACCATCTCTCACCAACACATTTGACAGCATGATGTAAGTTGCTGGGTCATGTGGGTATAGTTGCAAAATTTTTTTTGCGGTACGAATGGCAATATCCTTATTTCCATGAATTAGGCAAGCACTTAGCAAAGATTTGTAAATAGATGGTCCTGGTTCAACTGTGATGCTTTCGATGAAAGCTTCGGCTTCATGAAGATTTCCTGCTCGACCGAAGAGGTCAACCACTGTAGCATAATGCTCCAGTTTTGGAGGTTCAAGCAAATTACTATTTATCATCAAATTGAAATATTCAAGTCCCTTATCCAGCAAACCAACGTGGCTACAAGCAGTGAGCACAGAAAGGAACGAGGTATTATCTGGTTTGACCGATGTCCTTCTCATTTGCTCAAACAAGTCAATGGCCTCTTCACCACGTCCATGGTAAGCACATCCTGAAAGCAATGAATTCCAGGATATTAAGTCATGTTCATTCATCATTGAGAACACCTTCTTTGAATCACTGATAGCACCACATCTAGCATACATGGACACGAGGCCATTTTGGACAAATAAATTTAAGGCAAATCCAGTTTTATAAACTAGACCATGAATTTGCCTTCCTTCTTCCAGAGCTGAAGTAATCCCTATGGCCCTAAAAATGCTTGTAAATGTGAAAAAGTCTACATCAATATTTGCCTGCCTCATCTGAATAAAACATTCCAAAGCTTCCTCACCAATGCCCAAGTTAGAAAAACCAGCTATGACTGCATTCCATGAAATCTGATCGAACATTGTAATGGCCGAGCAAACCTTCCTATAGTCCTCCAAGCTACTGCAACATTCGGAATATGCAGTAACAAGGCTAGCGGCTATATAGTTATTACTCTCGAACCCTTCCGCTATTATCCGACAATGGATTTGCTTGCATTGATGAAAATTGTGAGAACTAGAAAATGAACTTAGCAAGCTATTATAAGTCATATAATTTGGTTTAAGATCCAGACGCAGCATTGCTCGCACCAAAACCATTGCCTCATCCGGTTTCTGATTCCGAGCGTACCCAGAGATCATTGAAGTCCAAGTAAAAACATTTCTGTTTGACATTATATTGAACACCCTCCTTGAATCTTCAAGGTTGCAACACTTCGAGTACATGTCGATTAGTCCAGTACCAACAACAACATTAGATGAAAACCTTAGTTTCAAACTAAAACAATGAAGTTGACTTCCAAGCTTTCCATCTTGTAACTGAGAACAGCCCACAAGAACACCAGATAAACTAAAGGGTGTGGGTTCTATCCCCACATTTAGCATCTCCAAAAACAAAGTAATTGCCATCTCTGGTCTGCCAGCTTGTAAATAACAAGTAACCAAGGCATTCCAAGAGACAACATTTGGACACTCCATTTCATCAAACACCTTTTGGGCGTTCGACATAGAACAATATTTACCATACATATCGACAAGAGCACTAGAAATATAAGCATTGAGAGAGAAACCCAACTTGACAATGGCTGAGTGGACTTGAATTCCCAAATCCAGATAGCCAGATTTTGTGCATGCGGATATGGTTTTGCTGAGAAGGTGAGGGGTGGGAGAAGACGCATTTCGCAGCAATTGAAGCAGGAGCTCGATGTCGAAATTGTCTGATAAATTGTGTTTTTGGGTAACATGTCGAAGGCTGGGTTCTGAGTGAGTGTGATTACGAGAAATCGAAGCTCTGAAACTTACGTGGCTGGGTATCCAGAAGGAGGCCTTGAGAAGATGAACAGCGCTCCGTAGGCGGCGGGTGGAGCAGGAGCAGTACATGGCCGCATGTTTGTTTGATCGAAGCGCCGGCGGTGCCGAGAAAACTTCAAATTGAACAAATTTGTTTGAACTTTGAAGCCGGTTCAAATTTCGAACAACTTGTTAATGGAACAGTTTGGGTTCATAAAACCAGCGAATGGTGCTTGCGGCTGTTGATCCACCGCCACAAGGACTTTTTTTTTTTATTTAACTCGATATATAGGTGGTATTCGAATTCACAATTTTTTTTTTATCTTAATTCATTGATTTTTTTAAAATTTTATATTTAATAAATTTTGTACTGTTAACTCTTTTGGTTTGGTTTATGCTATCAAACATCTGAATCTACTTGAAATCAGTATATTGCTTAGTTTATAAATAATATATTACGTAAGTGTTAAACGTGCATATTTAATAATAAGGATTAGGAAAATACTCGGTTAAAAGATCTATATGTCCTAACCGTCATTTGAACGTTTGCAAAATAAGAGAAAGAAATGTTGGGGTGAATTTATCAAAAGAGCTTAAACTATAAGGTATTTTCTCACAAAATCATCCTTCAAAGGTGTCCTTTAAAAGATGCACGCTTAACTTTGGAATTTTTACGATTGAGTCATCGAAAAGGAAGGTGCACCTTATAGGTAGTAACTATCAATTCTTTTAAGCCTTTCTTGACTATTCTTTCATGATCTCAGAATGCCTCTCATTCGAATATGGTATCGATTCATTCATATGCCCCTCCTCTCGAGCGTTACACTATAAGATGCAATAAATGGTGCATTATAGAATACGCTAAAGATTACATTAAAATCGTGTTAAAAAAGCATCATAAATGTTGGCAGAGCTATTTTTTAGTGCGACATAGTGCAACCCTAAATATAGTACAGCTCACGCACTAAAATAGTGCTACTCTAAAAACAGTCCATGTATTAATAAAAATAGTGCTGCACTAAAATAACGCAGCTCATGTGTTAATGAAAATAGTGCACTCATGCACTAAAATATTTCAGCTCGCAATATAGTGCGGGGCATGCTATAGCGCAACCCTTGCACTATTATAGAATGCTGTAGCGCTTTAATTAGCGTGTCTAGTGCATAGCACCGCCAACCTATGCGATAGTGCGCCCACCTTTAACGTTGCTCAATACACGACCCTTGTCCTATAAATTTGTAAGAGATGCAACCCTTCAAGGTATGTCATTCTCATATACTGAGCATCGGAATATGGTAGGTCGACACCACGCCGACATCCACTCACCTTCTCTTTTTACAGGTCGCAGACCCAACCTCTCCTTAATCCCTCGGCAATCGATCCGATTGATCAACTCTTGACCCGACCAACTTCCCAAAAATTGCATCAACAAGAAATATAAAATATTATTATTGTTTTTTAAATCTAAAGATTCTTTATGAACTTTTTAAATTATAAAGATTAAAAATTATGTTTTTCCTATAAAGGGGGAAAAAATTAAGGGTCCAAACTTAGGACCAAATTCAACCCATGTGATTAAATAATTTTTAATTAAAAAAATGGGTTTGTTAGGTGTTTCGTGCATTAACCAATTCCCATAACTCAACTGATCAAGAGTGAAATCTTCACCCACATGTTGAAAAAACAGTGTTTCTTTAATTAAAAAATAAATTTGATTTGAGAATTACGTGCATCTCCTATTTATTAAGCTTTGTAATACCCTGAAATTTTCCTTAGTGGGGATTAATACTACAATTTGTTTTTTTTTATATATATTAAAAAGGAGGGAACAATTCGAACTTTTTGGAAGTGTACATTTAAGGCCTCTGTGAGCAGCAAGAATTTTAAAAGAGAAAATTTCAGTTCATCGGAGTTCATGGCCAAATATTGCCAATCTCAACCAAATTATACGCCATTTGAATGGCATCACACAAGATAATTTGAAAGACCCAATTTGATGTTCTCTTGACAGAAAGGCCATGCTATAAGCCTAATTCCTTCTTCAACTTCAAAAGAGTGGCTTCTATCTCGTCGATATTCTCCTCGATACTACTGCTCTTGCTGGCCTGATCCCGAACACCATTTCTTGCTTTATCTGCAGTGGAAGTTCTGAAAGAATCTGCCTTCCCAGATGCTTCTTCATCGTTGTTTGTTTCATCTTCTGAATCAGTTATGTTGAGTTCTTTCTCAAGAAACTCTACAAATTCCTCCCCAATTTCCTGAAATATGTAAATTTGCACTTAAACAAGGAATGTAAAGGCTCCATTTTGCAATTCATAACATCTTTTTGGTGTTAATGAAATTTCCAACTGAATCAGCGTCTCACCGCCAGTTCTTCCCATAGGCTCTTTGGCGCCCCTTGCAAAGAAGCACTGGCCTCCCAGTTTCGAAATTCTTCTTGAAGATCCTTAAAGAAGTCCCCTGTAAAGAAAAAAAAAAGACTTTAGTTACCCAGACAAAATTTACAGGCAATACAAAGGGGAAAATCAAGGATGTTTAGCTAGTTCTGTTCTGAAATAAAGCAGACGATAATTCCCGTCTGCATTAATCCTGTCAGAGAGAACAAAATCTACCTAGTGCTATTTGAACATCTTCGAAAAAATTACCTGCAGCATAATGAATGGAAGTGTTCTTAAATAGAAGAAATGAACAACACTAAGAGGAGAGAACAACAGAGAAACATCACCAAATCCTTTCAACAGCTAAACATACTTAAGAAGAGTTCTGCATCATATGTAAACATGCTAATAAATCCGAATTATTATTGAAGAGTGCAAAAAATATCATTTGGACTCGCACAAAACAGCATTACATGAATGACATTTTGTTTAAGTATAATTCGCAGCGATGCAGTTAAATTAAAATGTTTCCATTGACCATGCTAAATTTTATATACAATTGGCCCCAATTCTCAAAAACCTTTGGTAAATGAGCCGTGGTCTCACATACAGAGTATCCCTTCTAGTAAGTAGTAATATTAAATATGTTCCTTCACTTTGGACTGAAGAATACAAATGAGTAGCTGCTTTTGTTTGGGGTTAAATTACAGGTTTGGTTTCTGAACTTTGAGAAATAATTGAACTTTAAAAATTGCCCAATATACTATTAAACTTCCAATGTTGTGTCTAATAAATCCCTAATCTTTAAAAAGTATTTAGTCGAGGTGCGCGCAAGCTGACCCGGATACACGGATTCCAAAAAAAAAAAAAGAAATGTTCCTGAACTTTTCAGAGTTCAGAAACCAATAGGCTATAGATACAAATTTAAAATTAAAAGTTCAAACATATGTTAGACACATTTTAAAATTTAGAGAGCTAATAGACAGTAGATACAACATTGAAAGTTTGGATCCTATTAGACACTATTTAAGGGTCAAAGGCTTAATTTAAGGGTCAAAGGCTTAAAGTTCAGGTATGAAACGTATGATTTAAACTTTTTATTTTTTTAAGTAATAATCATAATCAACTGGTCAGTAACATAGAGACAGTCTACAAGCTCTATAGATCTTCCCTTAAAAGGCACCATTTACCATTT